AAAAAAAAAAAAGAAAAAAAACCCCTGTAAATGGTATCTTTTCAGCTTTCATTTTATGTTTTTCTTAATATATAGAAATGTAATTCATCTTATATACTGATCTCATTTCCAGGAATCTTACTAAGTTAACTTATTAAGTTAAGTAAGTTATAGATTATTTTGGATTTTCTATGTAGAATGATATTATCTGAAAATAACACTTTTCTTTCTTTCTAATAATTATGCCTATTCTTTAGTTTTCTTACTGTATTGTATTAGCTAAGACTTAAACACCTACAAATAAATCTATTAAAATGTATGTAAACATATTCAGAAGGATATAAACATTGGAAAAAGATCTGTAATAAATGAAAGAATAGATATATATTTTTTCGAGTACTTATCCATTATCAAATATCAATTGTCTCTATATTCTTCTATTCTTGCAACATGACCCCAACAGAATTTTATTTTCTTTGTAAAAACTGACAAATGATTCAAAAATTTATGGGAATGCAGGAGACCAAGAATATATATTCTTCCACTTATTACAGACTTAATTTTTTCAATATTTATAGCCTTCTGAATATGTTTACATACATTTTATTAGATTTTTTGGAGGTATTTGATATTTTGACACTGTTTTAAATGTTATTTATCTTTTACTTTCATCTTATGTTAGTGTATATATTGACATGGTATTCAGCAATTAACTTTTGTTAATCTTGTATTCACTAGTATAATTGCCCTTATAAATTCTAAGCATTTAGAGGTTGTTTTAGCTTTTCTTTTTGGTACTGGATCGAACTCTGGTCCTTGCACTTGCAAGGCAGGCTAAGGAACCACTGAGCTAAATCCCCAGCCCTCAGCTTTTCGATAGTAATATTCAACTGCAAAAAAAGGGACAGTCTCTTTTTATTCTTTCTAAGTGCTTATCAGTTTTCTTTTCCTTGTCTTGTGTTGTTGGATCTCCAGTATAGTGTTGAGTGTAAGTAGGGATAGTGACATCTTTATCTGGTTCCCAATTTGAAAGGAAAAGCTTTTGATGTTTGACCATTAAGGATGCCATTTGTTTTATAGTAATAAATTAATAGACTTTGTGTTATACAGAAATTTTAAGTATAAAGACAATAGCAAGCAGAAAGTATGGAGAGGTTCCATATCCCTCACAAGTTATATCTGTTATAACATCTTACACTTTTATGGTTCATTTGTCATAATTGATGAACCAATACTAATCTACTTTTATTAACTAAAGATCATAGTTTATGCTAGGGCTCACTCTTTGTGTTAAATAATCTTTTTACTCTTTCTATACTTTGGCCTATTTCAGAATGTCATATAAATGGAATCTTATGGTTGTGTATGCTTTTCAGACTGACTTTTTAAAGCAATATATATTTGAAACTCTTCCATGTCTTTTTGTGTCTGGATGGCTCATTTATTTTATCTCTGAGTAATTTTCTCTTGTGTGGATGTACTACAGCTGAATATCCATTCAATTACTGTACATCTTTTTTGCTTACAACTTTTGATTATTAATGAAACTTATAAACATTTGTGTGCAGCTTGTGAGAGGACATAAATTATTATTGTTATTATTATTATTATTTTTGGTTTTTTGAGACAGGGTCTCACTATGTAGTTGAGACTGACCTAGAACTCACTATGTAGCCCAGGCTTGTCTCAAACTCACAGCGATCCTCCTGCCTCAGCCACCCTAATGCTACCACGCCTGGTTGACATAAATTATTTTTTAAAGATACATTTTACTAGATTAGGAAAGTTCCCTTTTACTCCTGGATTTCTTTTTTAAAAAAAAAAATACAGGATCTTGCTATTATGTAGTTCAGGCTGATCTTAGGCTCACTGTGGCTCAGGTTGCCCACCAGCTCAAGTGATCTTCTTAAAATCTCAGCCTCCAGAGTGCTGGCATTACAAGGATGTACACCAAGCACTCCTGTTTTCTTGTTTTTCAGATATCTCTCATTAATTGTTTGCTGACAATAGCCTTATTTTCTAGTTCTGACTGTTCTCACATTGGTCACTTCTGTCTCCCACACTTCTGAAAAAAATTTTGTCTCCTGAAATTGTGTTTGGTACCTTCTTATGGAGTCTATTTTCTCTGCTGCTCATTCATGTTTTATATAATTTTATTTAGCTTTTTATTATATAAAAATTTATATAATTTTTTATCTGTCTTTTGTAGATTTGCTGATCTTTTTCTTTTATTAGGCCCATTATCTGTTTACACATTATCGCCAAGCACCATATCTATCTGTTTTGTTATCTCTTCTGTTTTTCCTTTTGAATAATTTAGCTGTGTGGTTTTTGATTTCCTCCCTTTTCATACCCCATGGATCAGCTTTTGGAAGCTGAAATTTTTTAGAGGCATTTTGTTTGCCGTGTCTGCCTTTTCCTTCCTTCCTTCCTTCCTTCCTTCCTTCCTTCCTTCCTTCCTTCCTTCCTTCCTTCCTTCCTTCCTTCTCTCTTTCTTCCCTCCCTCCCTTTCTTTCCTCCCTCCCTCCCTCCCTTCCTCCCTCCCTTCCTTCACTCCCTCCCTCCTTCCGTTCCTTCCTTCCTTTTCTCTCTTTCCTCCCTCCCTCCCTTTCTTTCCTTCCTCCCTCCCTCCCTTCCTGTCTTCCTTCCTTTGTGCTGAGGCTTGTGGGTTGATTACACTGGAAAGGTTTGTTGCTAGTTTAGAGGTCTCTTTAGTGAATGTCTGCTTTTCAGCAATGCTGTCTGGACCTGGCTAACTATTGGCCTTTGCCTCTCACAGGATCCAACTACTCCTATTTCATAGGGAAGATGCAGTATATTTGACCCTGTACCTAGTTCTGGATATGGGCTGCAGTATTGTTAATGACACAAAGGCAATCCAGATATTGGCATCCAGAGAAAACCAATTAATAGCAACAACTATTCCACCTTGGCTACAGTAATAAAATCAGCCATGATAATAGTGTGAGGGCTGGAAATTTAGCTCAGTGGTGCTGCCACATGCCTAGCAAATGCAAGCTCCTGAGTTCGATCTCTGGTATCCCCCCCAAAAAAGTGTGAAAGACAACCTGGTTATTGACATCCCGTAAGAACCAATAATGTATCATTCTTAACCATAGAAAAGAGATTTATAATTATAGTACAAGCACTAAGACAAACCAATTACTGACCTATATTAAGTATCTGCTAAAATGGAATAACTACCTTCACAACAGAATAGTATCTAACAGGGTCTGGGATTTAGCTCAGTGGTTCTGCCACCTGCCTCTCAAGCACAAGAACCTGAGTTTGATTCCCAGTACAAAAAGAAAAAAAAGAATAGTATTTAACAGTAAAAGCATAGAGTTAGCTAGGTATAAAGAATCCTAAAGCTTAATAGTTTTACTAGTAAGTATAGAGGGGTGGAGAGCCAGAGAATAAAAGTAAAATTTGAAAAATTAATCCATGGAAGACAAGAAGGAGGAAAAAAATGAAATAAGGAATCCTCTTGAGGAATAAAAGGAAATTAATAGTATTAGAAAAGAGTCATAGAAAAGAATGAACAAGAAGAAGAATAAAAATCAAAACAGAAAGCAAAATGCAGAAAGCAGTAGAAAGATGAAGAAAAAGTTAAAAATGGAAAAGGAAAAAAAGGGAGAAAAATCCTCAGTCCCCCCCCAAAAAAAACAAATAAAGGAAAAAAATGATAAAAAGTAAAAAAAAATTAAAAAGATTGAGTGGAAAAGTTCTTTGTGTTTTTGAATAAGTGGTTTTTTTCCAGGACCAGCAGTATTTGAATCCAGCAAGTTACAACTTTCTCAGCCTGACTTTAGGGTCTATGGGTTTGTGACATGACCTCCCTGCACCAGAGGTCCTTCTGTCTTTTAACTAGACTGTGGCAATTGTCCAAGCCAAGGCATGTCCTTCCTCACATTGGGAGATGGGAAAACAGTCAGCCTTCTGGTCTCTGATGGATGTATGCTGCTGGGTGAAAGTTCCAGCAGACAATGGGACTTAATATCAACACTCAACCAAGCCTGGTTTCTCACTGTGGAGGGCAGGGCTGATATTATTCCCAGCCTGAGCTTAAACATTTTAGGGAATCAATATCTAACCTGTGCCCACTTTGTGGTGATCTCCCTTAGTTGTCTTTCGCCCACTCACTTTGGAAGGGCAACAGACATCTGAATCCCTGCGGCTGCTGGCCATGTCTTTGTACTTTCCCCTGAGTCTGCTGGCCTTCCAGGCTTACCTTCTCTCCCCAGACACTGTTCTTGTCCAGGATCTGGTTGGTTGGTTAGTTGATGCCTCTGCTACCCTGTGCTAAGGGGAAGCAAAATGTAGATTCTGCTTGGTTTTGGCACCTTGCCACATCATGTGTGAGCCTATAACTTTGTTCAAAGATGTGTTGCTCTGGACTCCAGCAGCATAGTGAGACTGAGTCTTAAAAAATTTGGCTTCAGAATCCTTCCACAAGACACAGGAGAAAGACCAAATTGCGCAGAAAGACCAAATATTGACTTCTCAGTCTTGCTGCTGTCCATGGGGTTGATGGGTGCACCTGTTTTGTTTGAATCTCCTGTTTAAACATCATCTTTGCAGACAGGCTGTATTGGGGGTTCACCTCCCCTCCCCAGCTGCTTGATGAAGCCCTTAAGGAATTGCTTTAGATGCTGAACTATGGGACAGATTTGGGAGTAGGTGTAGAGGTGTAGAAAAATAGGATGAGTTACCAGAGCAGTTCTGTGTTGAAGACTCCTAGCATCATCCTTAGCTTCAGTGATTCCCTTAGGGAATCATTAGAGTTCAGCACATGTTCATAGTTCTGATCACAGCTAAAGATACAAAGGAAAAGATGTATGAGATAAAGTCTGAAGGCAACATGATTTGTTTCTCAGTACTGTTTCATAGGACATAATTCCTCCTGGATCTACGCATAACAGCCTATGTGAAAGGTTGACTTTTAGGGAAGGTCACTCAAGCCTGGTTATTCAGAATTTTTGAGGGGATCAGTTATGTAGGCATATATCCCCCCCTACATGATTAACCTTAGTGATTGAAGTTCTAGATCCGCAGCAGAATTCAGGTGTTCATCATAAATTACACTGTTAGCATAAACTATCTAGAAAAACTAGTACAGTGTGACTGAAGGCCTCACACATACAAAAGCACTTGTATCAAATAGAACATCCCCCAAACTCAATTCCCAGCCAAGGATCAGTCTGAAAACAGGCCTATCTCAAGACTGCAGGGTGTGAGCAATCCAAAGCTGGTAGATTGACTCTTTATGTATAGAGACCTACCCTGACCAAACCCAAAGAAAGGAACACCCTTGTTACTTTCTAGTCACTCAGGCCTTTGGCTATATAATTATTTACTTTATGAAAATTAAATAACATATTATCTGATTTTTGTATTCCACTACCAGAATATAAATTCCACAAGGCCAATGACTTTCCTTTATTACCACTATTTCTCCAGTGTCTAAAACAGTGTTTAGGGCTGGAATGTGGCCCAATGGGATGACACTTGCATAGGCAAAAAATACCCAGCACAATAAATAAATAAAACAGTGATTAGCCTATATGAGATATTCAATAACGACTTATTGAACGAATGGAAGTTATCATTTATGTAATTACTTAGAAATGCCAATAATGTTGATTGACTAGGTTGTGGGATATACTATTATCCTATGAGTGAGATTTTTTTCATCTGTTTATTTCTTCTGAACAGGTCTATAACTCAGTAGCCAGATCTTTTCCTCGAAGGTTTGTTTTGCCCTTAGATTTCAGTGTGAATGCTGTCGAGGGAGAGAACCTCAGTCCATTGTCCTATTCTTCAGCCAGTGCTGTGAAGCAGGCTGATGGAAAGGTATGCTATGAATGGTTACTAGACCAAGCCTTTAAGCTTTGGTGGGCTGGGGATGTAGGTCAGTAGTGCCGTGCTTGCCTGGCAAGTGCAAGATCCCAAGTTTGATCCCTGGTTCCGCCAAAAAAAAGACTTTAAACTTTGGTGATATTATTTTATTCTTTGGCTATTCTCCACAATGTTTGGTGCCCAGTTGGTTCATAACATTCGACTGAACAGGGTAATTATGGTCATGGAATCTTGCTTACATACAAATCACAGAAACTTGATGGGATTGAACACTGTATAGCTATTCTTTTTTGTGTTTTAAAGCAGACATTTGCAATTTTCTAATGGTGTGAAATGTCTAAGCATTTGAGATTGCCATTCCTGCCTTCAAGATCAGTTGTGCTTATTGCAGGCAATACCTTAATGTCACCTCTCAATGCACCTGTCAATGCCTTAACTTTAGTAGAATAAAATACCACTTCCATCTCCTAGGCTATTGGACATTTTATTCACAAAACCCAGTGATATTATATGCATTTATCCTCATAATGGAAAGAAGAACAATATAAAAATGATAACATAACTTTAGATTCCAAGCCATTCACAAACAGGGTATTTGATTCCTCACTAACTTACACTGAAGAATTAAGATAATTTTTTTCATTTCTTTTCTTTTATTGAGTTTATTGGTACATTTTAGGTATACAGTACATTTACATTCATTAATGGGATCTTGTACCTTTACATGACAAGTCTTGGTTCTCATTTCTTCCCCTTGTCCCTGCCCTCCCTTCACCCCCTCCTTCCCTCCCCATTTACTTTATTTATTCCCCATTACTTTATTTCCATTGAGAATTAAAAGAAGCAATATCTTTAAATACTTTTGGAATCTCTTTTAGATCTGGTGTGTCCATGAAAATTTACATCAGGAAGACCTGGAGGAGGAAGGAGGTGTCGAATTTCCCCAGATCAACTATGGCCAATTCAGTGGCAAAAAGTATTATTTCTTTTATGGTTGTGGTTTTCGGCATTTGGTGGGGGATTCTCTGATCAAGATTGATGTGGTGAACAAGACACTGAAGGTAATGAAAATCTTCCTTTTATGAACTTTTTCAAAAACCTGTCTTTTACATTGTTTTCTGTTTTGTTTAAAGTGGCTTCAGATTCTTTAATATTTTAAGCTCAATCATTTTATTAAGTTTGAGAAGCATAGAATCACCTCCATTAGGGGTATGTTCCTCTAGGGAATCTAAAAGAAACATAAGACTGGAAAAATAATTCTAAGCTTGGTATTATTTTAGGAGAAATTGTGAGGTTGAGGTTATTGGGACACCTCTATTTCAGGTTAGTGGGAAATTATAATCATACAAGTTGTATTTGGTGGTGATGGAATTTGAGGACTGTCAAATTTCTTTGGCTTTCTCTCTCTCTAAATTCAACTCAGCAAGCCTAATTTTTAAATTATTGTGATATTCTATTGATATACAAGTTCATTTTTAAGTATAGAAAGCTCTCCCATCACAACTGGCCTTTCATGAAATACTTTGGTTTTTTTTCTTTTTTATTGTTTATTTGTACTTTCTAGGTATTCAGTACAGTTATATTCATCATTGGGATCCTATTAAATACTTTGTGTGTGGTGTATTTGCAGGTTTGGAGAGAAGATGGCTTTTATCCTTCAGAACCTGTTTTTGTTCCAGTACCAGGAACAAATGAAGAAGATGGTGGGCTTATTCTTTCTGTGGTGATCACTGCCAACCAGGTAAGAGTATTTCTCTGTCACTCATCAGAAAAAAGTAGCATTAAGTCATTTGAAGGTGACATCTAGTGATGCAGTCCATATGGCACTTCCTTCTCTTCCTCTTCTTGCTGTTTATAAACTTTTTTTTTTGAAAATCACACTCCATACCTTATTATTGTTTAAAGTTCAATTTGCAGAATCATAATAATTCACATTTGCATAGGAATTTGTCATTTACAAATTATTTTAGTTCTTGAAACAGCTTTGTAGGATATGATTTTACAAATGTGGAATTCATAAATTGAAGTTGAAACACACATGTATCAGATCTCATAGGGATAAAATCAGCATTTTAATCTTCTGGCTTCTTGCGTAATGTTCATACCACCACCTGTGCTGCCCATTTCAATTAACTGATCTGAAAGTCCAGCATCATAATCTCTGGCCTCATGTCTCAGTAATGTTACTCATTAACTGACTTCTTCTCTGGGACCATCTTATTGCAAATAGGTTCGCTTCCAATACCAGCTTTAATCAGTTTTTAGTGGCTAGAAAGGGTTCAGGATCCTGAGCCCTTTAAATGGTCTAGTGGGGAAAGTGCTGTGATCAATTAATGATGTCTGTCATGGGCTTAGTCTTCATGCCATGCACTTGGCACTGTTGTAATTAAATCAGGGCAAATGTCAGTCTGCTTTGCAAGCCTTCACCTTCAGCGGCTCCATAGTAACACAAAATTGAGGCATTACTAATTTGGAAGAGAGAATTTCTGTGTTTCCTAGGAGATTGTGAAGGAGCAAGTAAAGAGATCATTAGACTCAAAGAGAACCTATGGAGGTGATTGATATAAACAACTTAATTTCTTCACTTTCAGCGTGAGTTTCAGTCATGATTTCCTTTCAAACCATTCAGCAATTCAGCAAACAGTGTGTGCATAGACAAAGTACTCACCTAGGGATAGATATAAAAATGAATAAAACATGGTCTCTTTCTTAGCACAGAGGAGAAGACAGACTGACCTGATTGAAAAAAAAAAAAAAAAAGAAGGCATTTTCAGTCTTGTTTTTCCTTTTCTAGAATGACAGCAATTTTCTTCTTGTATTGGATGCCAGGACCTTTGAAGAACTAGGCAGAGCAATGGTACCTGTGCAAATGCCATATGGATTCCATGGCACATTTGTACCCATGTGATGAGACAACTACAGATCTAGGAACTAGGTTTAAAATAAGTGTGCCTATGCAAAGGAAACCACCAACAGAGCTAAGAGACAACCTACAATGTGGGAAAAAATTTTTACCAGCTATTCTCAGACAAAGGCCTACTATCTAGAATATATAAAGAACTCAAAAAAAATCAGACCCCCCTAAATATAAAAACCTGATTCAAAAATGAGCATCTGAAAGGAACAGATATTTCTCAGTCAAAGAAGTAAAAGCAGCAAAGACATATATAAAAAAATGTTCCACATCACTGGTCATTTGAGAGATGCAGATGAAAACAACACTGAGATTCCACCTCACCCCACAAAGAATGGCTGCTATCATGAAATCAACCAATAACAAATGTTGGTGGGGCTGTGGGGAGAAAGGAACCCTTCTCCATTGTTAGTGGTAGTGCAGACTGGTGCAACCACTATGGAAATCAGTATGGAGATATCTCAAAGAGCTGGGACCAGAGGTTCCATTTGACCCAACCATCCCTCTGCTGGGTATCTTCCCAAAAGAATTAAAAGAATCATACCACAGTGGTATATGCTCACCCATGTTTATAGCGGCACAGTTGGCAATAGCTAAAACTTGGAAACAGCTCAGTTGCTCATCGGTTGGAGACTGGATAAAGAAGATGTGGTTTTTCTATAAAATGGAATACTACTTGGCCATAAAGAATGATAAACTAGTTTCATTCATAAGAAAATGGATGCATATTGAAGCCATACTCTTAAGTGAAATAAATAAGACACACATGTGTAAATACCAAATAGTTTCCCTGGTGTGAAAAACTAAAAGTGTAAATAAGTTCCAAATTGTACAACTGATAATGTGAAAAAGGGCTAAAGGTGTAGGGGAAGTGGGAAGGGTAGGGGGCAGGAATGAAGGGACAAGAAAAAATATGAGAAAAGGAAAAAAATGGAAACAAAGTCTTTGTAAATAGGGGAGGGTGGAGAGGGTGAAGAGAGGGCAGGGGTATGGGAAAAAATGAGAATCAAGATACGTTATGTAAAGGTACAAGATCCCAATGATGAATGTAACTTTACTGTATACTTAAAAGGTACCAATAAACTCAATTAAAAAAAAGCAAGGGAAAAATAAATAAAACAAGTGTGCTCTGTTAAAAAAGAGCACAAAAAGTCACCCTCCTTCTCAAATCATACATATTTAGCTTTTAACTATTAAAAGTACAATTTGTGAGGGCCAGGGATTTAGCTCAGCGGTGCTGCTGCCCACGTCACAAGTGCAAGGACCAAGTTCAATCCCCGGTACCAAAAAAAACAAAAAAACAAAAAACAAAAAAACAACCAACGAGTGAGATAATTATGGTTCTGCATTTTCCTTCTTTTTTTATTCATTGAACCCAGGGCCTAAAATGTGCTAGGTACTTTATTACTCAGCCACTCCCCTGATCTGAATGATTTTTAGGGCTTTTCTTTGACGTTATTAAGCAAGTGTTGATACAATGGTTTGAAGATAGTTTTAAATGTATATTTATTAGATGCATTTCCTTCTGGGTAATAATAAGAATATATGAAAGAAAAGCTAGAATTTGGTAATTACTATCACCAGATAGATGGGTGACAGAGGTACTGGAAGAAGATGTACAAATGGCCAGAGAGGCTTAGAATCTATATCAGAAAAATACTTCATTATTTCCATCACATCCTGCTTGTTACCTTTGGTCCTAAAGTACTCAGTGCACAGGGAGCCAGCTCTGTCATACTTGGAGGCCTTCTCTAACCTAACAATTTCTCTGCTGTCTACACCAGATGCTACTGCAATTGCCTGGCACTCCCAAAGACCATCTGCTACTATTCCCATCTCTCCTTCAACTCAGGTTTTGGAGTGGTCGTTTTGAGGGATATCACTAAAATCAGGCATGTCTTCAAAACTTTAGGTACGTAGGTCTCTACGATTGATGAAAAGCCAGTAGTTCTTTATTTAATTGAGCAATAGGTGGCACTAGAGACCATATAATCTCCACATTTCTAAACAACAGTTTTTATCAACAGCTTTAAATAGCCCAGTAACTCACACCATTGCCAACACCCTTAAATTCCCTTGTTTCCTTTTCCTTCAGTAATTCACAAAACCTACTCCCCAAACCCCAATCTTCAGCCAGGTAAATGGTCCACATTCCCTCTGCATGTTGACAGTTGCTAAAGAAGGAAACCAGATATATAATTTGGGACATCTGTCAACTCATGGTTAGGTTTGCCTGTAAATTCTGGACCAACATAGTCAGTTTCTTTTAATTTTCTCTTAAGACTTGTTTCAAACTTTATAAACCCTGTCCTCTTCAGTGAAGTGTTCCATATATACAAATGCCTTGTGTTGGGGTTTGTACTGTGGCAATAATGTAAAAGAGGTCACTTGCTACTGCTGCTGTTTGCTGCTGCCTAAGTCTGCCCTGCAATGGACTATTTTTCTCCTCTGACACCCCTCAGCCATCTTGCTGTAGAGCCAGCTGACAATGGATTGAAAGTGCTGCAAACTAACAAGAAGAATAAGAGCTTTGATTGGCTCCAATCCCTGAGAAAAGAAGAAGAAGAAGAGGGGGAGGGGGAGGGGGAGGGAGGAGGAGGAGGAGGAAGAGGAGGAGGAGGAGGAGGAAAAACACTGTTGAAAAATTTAAAAGAGCCATAGAAAGCAAAAAGCAAAAAAGATACTGCTAAGATGAGTGGCCCTAGTTTCCATCTTAACTTGGGCAAGCAAGAATTTGTATTCTCACGCTCTCTTCACTTCATACTCTCCCTGTCCCTTCCTTTCATCATTTGAGATGCCAGTGTTGAGGTTGTTACCAGGTCTAGGCTCGCAGGTAGAACAATTTCATCTTTCAGCTCTCCTGCTTCTCCTTTGAAGTTTCTCTATTCTCTACCTTTATCCCCAACTGATATACACATGTGCCTAGACGAGCCACCTAAAGAGCCAACAGTCTGGTAGCTATGCTTTGAAGGAAAAGTGAAAAGTTGAAAGATGATTTATTGTGCTTGGAAGGGTTATTCAGTGATGATATCCCAGTTTTACATGAATGTGGATCGGCTTCAAACCTGCTGAAAGACTGGTAGCTTGAGTTGGCCAAAGTGTCACTTCCTGTGCCCTTGATTACAACAGTGAGTTAGTAGAGAATGAGAACAGAACAGTGGTTGGCAGCTGAAGTGGCTTAGGTTAGAACAGTGTCTCTCATCATGAGGACAGGGATAAGAATGGTAGCTGTTGGCAGGGGCATCACTATCCTCAGCAGAGGTAAAGATGGAGGAATCTGACACAGGTGAATGGGCAGCAATGGGGAAGGGTGAGAGAGATGGAAAAGAGAAGTTCAGAAGATGCAATCTGAATTATTATTATTATTATTATTATTATTATTATTATTATTATTATTATTTTTTTTTTTTTTGAGACAGAGTCTCACTATGTAGTTGAGACTGAGACTGACCCAGAACTCACTATGTAGCCCAGGCTAGTCTTGAACTCACAGAGATCCTTCTGCCTCTGCCTCCCGAGTGCCATCTAGATCATGAAGAAGGCTAACACATAAAATCAGTCCGACAGAATTCCTGAAGTGTTCCAGCCATGGGAGGGCAAAGAAAACAGGCAGGAAAGCACTGTGAAACAGAGCTAAAAGAAAATGATTCATTGCCATCTACTTTGTTTCCTCTTTACAAGAATGAAAGGAATGCAATCAACAAACCCAGGATAAAATTGGCCGAAGGAATCATGGTCCAAATAGGAGACTCAATAGCTAAGATTTGATTTCGAAGAATTATAAACAGAGCTCCTTTCCTTCTATAAGAAAGATAATGTAAACAAGAATTCCAGGTATTAGAAAAAAATGAAAAGAAATAAAACTATAAAGATAATAAAGAAAAAATCTGAGAATATATTTAGCATTTTGAAGTAAGAAAGACAACCCTAAAAGTGAAACATCAAAGAGAAGGCAAAAATGAATAAATTACATTAGATTAGAATTAAGAGAAAAAATCGCAATGGAGAAAGAACATGGAAAAATTATTTAGTTGCTCAGATGAAAATATTTGTGATATTTATGAGGCAAAAGCGTGATACCTAAAATTGACTTAGAGTTTCTAAAAAAAATCAATAACTAAGGCAAATAACCAAACGATCAAATAAGATAACAGCAAAAACATGAAAAGCAACTTGTAAGGGGTGAGAATTGAAGTTGTTTCCAGTTTTCCTTAATACAAAAATTGTGACAGTAAGCATCCTGGTATACAGCTTCATTCTCTCATGTAATAGAGCTTTTGTAAATCAATCAGGAGGGGAAGAATGGTTGGAGGGAGGGGAGGGAAAGGGGACAAAAAAATTGGGCATGTTATATACATGGACAAATCATGAATGTTATTATACATCACAAACATGTACTAATAAAAAATAAATAAAAAAGAACATATAAGGTAAAAGGACTAAGTACCATGTCTAGTTTTGTGAGATGCCAAACACAACAGAGGTTTGGAATGGTAAGATGTCTAACTAGAGCTAGTATAGAGATGTGGGAGCATGGAGTCTAAGGTAACCATGAGAGTATAAGTTCCTTGATAATTCACAGAAGTTACTGAAAGTTGTTCTAGTGCCACCTTGAGCAAAACATGGAGGCTTATTCTATCTTATGTAGACACGAATGGTGAAAGATACATTGGTTGACCTCTGAAAATCACACAAATCTGATGACATCTTTCCTGTTTATACTTGTAAATGTTTATCTTAATGCACAGGGAGTGAAGTTCAGACATACACAGGTTAGCAATATATTCATAAGATTTTGACCCAAGAATGCCTGAATTCTTCCTTGACCCTGCTATCTGTAATGTTCTTGAAAAAGAACCCCCACTTTCTTACCCTCCCCAGGGGTAAAAAAGAAAAGATTAATAGCATTTTATAACCAAGGCACAGTGCCCAGCAGTCCACCTTTTGGTAAAACTGAGTGAGCATATGACACAGACCTCTTCTCCCACTAAACTCAACTCTTATGAGCCAGTATCCAGAGACTCAAAGAAATAGTGCAGTGCATAAGGAAGGGGAAAAGGGAGAGAGGATGGTTAGCACTTGGGTCAGCTTACCATAGGAAGGCAGGAAACAATAGAATATTAATAAGGTGGCCACAGCTGCCTGTGGCAGGGAGTTTGGACTGTTTTTTTTTTTCCTGTGAACATAGCACCAGAGAATAAACCACAATTGTCTTTGATATATTCATACATTGTAACCTCACCTGGCACCTGGGAGTATACAAGGCTTTCTTGGTGCACAGAAATAAATTTCAAGCAGATGAAAATTCCCTTTCTTGGAGAGGAACTAGCAAATGAGTAGTGGGTAGGGCCTTCTTTCTTTTACACTTATAGTGACATTCATAGCTTTTAATAATTTGATTGTTAATCTGTTTCCTGTATAACCTCTTACCCACTGCTCCCCATTGTAGCCAAGAATTTGTCAATATGCACTAAACAAGCTGTACTTTTGCACATTTCCTTTGCTTACTATAGCTTTTCTTTCTAGAATTTCCCTCTTATACTTTAACCTCCTTTAAAATTCAGCTCAAAAGTCATCCCTTATCTTCCTTTCCTTTCTGAGGCAAAATTACTAGTCTTTAATTTGTCGTGGTATTATTTGTTTGACTTCCCACTAAATTGATCTTTATGAGGACAGTACTGTATATTTGTTATTTATGATTATTCCTTCAACAGTTAAGTGGTACTTTGGTGATGTGCAAATATTTTTTTAACTTAATGAGTGAATAAGAACAGGAAGGTGATGGCTATCAGGGCTACTTTGCCAGTATGTGTCTATTCAAATATTTTATGGGACTTCTTTTTTATTTTTGATTTTGAATGTTGGGACTTCTTAATAGAAGCTAATCTGAGAAAAGGAAACAAGCACAAAGCAAGTAAATGTTGTATATATAAACATTACACCTAAATGGCTTTTGGTATTAAAGCTAGAAGTCTGAAATTAAAGTTGTTCTTCTGAGGGTTCTGAAGGATCTGTTTTCAGGCCTCCTTGATTTGTAGATGGTATCGTCCCTGTCTTCACATGGCATTCCCTCTCTATTTGTCCTGTGTCAAAGTTTTAAAAAATTTATTTTTTTTCATGTATTTTATTGGGATTGGGTTTTGCTGTTTCAGGGCTGGCTCTGAAATGTTAGACTCAGCTATCTACCTCTCTCAGCCTTTGAACACTGGAACTACAGTTGTGTACTACCACACTTACCTATGTTTTCCCTTTTTATAAGGACACTCCACTTGTCATGTTATTTAGGGCCCACCCTAATAAATGCATCTCAACTAATTACATTTGTGTCAACCTTTCAGAAATTACATTCAGAGGTACTAGGGACTAGAATTCTAACCTATGAATTTGCAGGAGGGCACAGTTTAACCTATGACATGACCATTGAAGTCAATTTGGTGAGTACCTGTGATAGTTAATTATGTTGTCAACTTGCGTGGAATAAATGCCTAGCAGTGGAGCGCAGTTCTGGGTGTGTCTGTGGAAGGTTGGTGTGCGGGCCACAAACTGAAGAGGGAAGACCCAACACAGATGTGAGTGGCACCAGCCAATAGGCTTGTAGCCTAGATGGAATGAAAAAGAAAAAAAGAAGGAAGTCTTCCTTTTTGCTTCTTCGGAGGAGTTCCAGTCTTTGCCATTGCCTTTGGATGTTCATCTCCAGTTCTTTCAGGTTTTCAGAAGAAATGCTTCTGCCTTCCAATGCAGACCCTTCACCTTTCTGACTTGTACTCACCCCAGACTACAGTGAGCTCCAGACCTTCACTTTTGACTGGATCCTCCACATCTCCAACATGCAGATGGCCATTTTGCATTCCTATATTAGATTTTGCAGGTGGCCATTGTAACCTACTTAGGGAGGGAAATATATATATATATATATTCCTCTAGTGAACTGTAACTGATACCCTTGTGTAGAATTAGATTTAATAAAATAATTTAGAGTAAGAATTGCAATCCAACATTTTAGTAATTACAGCAATTTCTCAGAAATTCTTCCTACCCTTTGGTATTTGATTCAACTATTTTTGAAAAAAACGTGAAACCACAATTAGAGAGTATCTCAGGTTTAGTCAATATCTGGGAAATATTGTTTCTATTAGGAGTGATCTTAGAAAGTAATTTACTTATTTGGGACTATGGTTTCTAATATGCAAAGTGAGGATTGAACTATTAGTCTTTATCTCAAAAATCTGATGGCTTTCACTTTTTGTTTGTTTTTTTTTACACCGAGATCTCACTACATAGTTGAGACTGTAGCCCAGATTGGCCTCAAACTTGCAACAATATTCTTGCCTCAGCCTCCTGAGTTCTGGGATTCCAGGAGTGTGCCACCAAGCCTGGCTCAAATCTTTTAAATCCTTTCTTTACAGTCTAATGGGGAAGATGGGATAGACACTTGAAAATGTGTGAAGAATGTTTGCTACATAACAATAATTTAATGCAGAATGTACAACAATACATAGCTAGACAGAAGGCATTTCAGAGAAACCACCATTGGGGCTGTTTCTATGACTCCCACGATTTTATCTTTTCTAAATGTACAAGAAATTTTCCTAATCTGTTATTGATTACTGACTTGTCTTTTAATTTTTTTCATACAGTACTGTACAATGTAAGCTATCTTCTTCAGTGCCTGGAATTGTGCCAACTACATAGTACATCCAATACTTTTTTTTTTTTTTTTTTTTTTTTTTTTTTCACAGGACCCTGTGCTTGGGAGGCAGGTAGTGGAAACACTGAGCTAAATCGCCGGCCCCAACCCAATCAATACATATTTAATGAGAGAACGGAGGTGAGAGTGACAGAGTACTGGAAACTTAAAGTAGTTTTGACATCCTTGTGAGTAGAGGTGAATTAACAAAGTCCTCTTGCTTCCAAGGTGTCTAGATTGGCCCAAGATGTCCTAATGCGTGTGTCCATGGGCTATGTGTATGTCAACCCAGTAAGGATGGCTTTTGAATTTTCCTTAGTGAGAAAGTACACAGTACTTTGATGAACATCCAAAGGCAATGGCAAAGACTGGAGCTCCTCTGCAAAGGTTCTTCTTTCCCTTTTTATTCCATTATACAGTAGTCCGAAAGTACTACCATCTCTGGAAGCCCCGTGGTTCTAAAGGTGCCCTCAGATTCCAGCTCCTTTTATGTTGTAAGTACGCGGTGGCCCTGCTACTCATCTAATAGGAGCCCTCAGATCCCGGAGCTTTCAGTTCTGTTCTAACCCAGGGTTTTCTACAGGGAGTGGGAGAGAAAGCTCAAGAGGCTACTGAAGGACTCAAAACGTGCCCAAGCCCTCTCTAAACTCACCGCATGACCTAACGCTGAGCCTCTTAACTGCCTACACATTGCTTCAAGTTATCCGATGACACTGAGACAATGAGGGATCAAGGCACCGCCCCGGCCGCCCAAGTGGAGGTCCAGATTCCAGGACCCGCCGGGAAACCAACCGAGGAGAGCTTCCGGGGTCGCGCGAGCCCTCTCTGCGCAGGCGTAGAAGGCGGCACTGTTCCCTGGCTCGCAGAGGGAGGAGGGAGGAGTCGGGAGTCACCCGTTTCCCGGCGCCACCTGTAGACTATGCAAGCGGCAGGCCCGGGCGGTCGCCGCCGGGCACGAGTGTCTCGCCTCATCTCGTTTAGCGCAAGCCATCGGCTGCACAGGTGAGGTGTGCCCACAGGTGTCGCGGCAGGAAACGTGGCCAGGGGCGGGGCCAGGACGAGGCTAGGTGCGGAAAAAATGCTGGAAGGGTGGAGTCGGCGGACCCGGGGGTGGGGGCGGCAACCGGCGAGGCCGGGCGACCCGAAAGCCGTGGCTGAGAGAAGCGTCCGAGCCGGGGAAGCAGTGCGGCGTGTTGGTTAGCGCGGCCAGATGCGTAGGGGTCGGCCCTGGGTTAAAACCCACAGCCTCCGCTTCCTAGCTCTCGTCACACAGTCCCTAAGTTTACTTCCTGTGAAGTTCAACAGAATTAACTTTGCCTAACCAAACAGTAATTGTTAGCTGAGACTTTTTATGCCAGAAGCATGAGCTACTGTATGTAATATAATTACAGCAGGGAAGGGCAACTTTTATCCCCCCTTTAAGCAGTGACGAAATGAGCCTCTATGGTCAGATTCCTAAGCAAGCAGCACAGTTGGATTCGACCCACTACCCCTCAGATGGGTGGCTGAAATGAGTTGATTTTGAGGAGTTTCACTGCTTATTGGCAAGCGCCACTCTCGGAACCTGTTTTCCTTCTCTGTAAAATGAGGAAAATAATTTCTATCAGGATTCATCCATTCATTACTGGAAAAGGGTTTATTTTGTGCTTTAAACCCTTATGTTAGGCGACGGGGTTTCGGCAGGGACCAACACACACGTGTCACTGTCCCTATCTGGAATTTACAATGTGTTCAATTTTGTGGAGAGTCCGGTGAGACCTTTGTTCAAATGCTTTGTTAACGATAGCTCTCTAAGTTTGAGAAGTAGAGGGGATAATAAAGTTCTCAAAAGGAAAGGGTTTAGATAATAGAAGCTCAAACATATGAGGGAAGTAAGGACACAGATGGAAAAGTTGGTTGGGTAGGTAGATTTAAACTCATTGGTTTTTGTCTGAAACAACATCTAACAATTGTAATTTAAAAATTCTGCCTCATTTGAATACCCCAGATTGGTAAAGTTTTCAGTAGGTAATAGTTAACTGAGGCAGAGTGGAGTGAGACTGTTAAAAGAGGATATGGAGGTCATGCAATTATTTTTCAGAGGAAATGAGATTTTAAGTTGCTTGAGGACAGATATCCTTGTGTTTGTCATTGCATGCTCTTGCTTTATTGTGCGCTTTTCATTTTGCTTAGTGAGTGCTCAGTAAATATTTATTGAATTGAAAAATGAAAGGACCATGAGATAATTGGAATCTTGCTGTGGAGCAAAGGTGTTGAATTTAAGTATTCATGCTAATTTGTATGGTACAGTAGTGAACTTAGGAAGCATACATTGGCAGTTTACGTATAGGTGAATAATGAAATCAAAGTGATTTCTCCATCTGGTGTGTTAAAGTAATAATAAATGTTGAAACTTCAAAGACTAGGGTAAATAATAAGCGTAAGAAACAGGAAGTGTCTGAATATGACACTGTGTCGTGCTGACTTTTTTTTTCTCTTTTTTTGGCCAGCAAATCTCTGAGTAATGAGGAAAACCTGAAACTCTTTGGGAAATGTAACAATCCAAATGGCCATGGGCACAATTATAAAGGTGAGAGAAAAACTGATGAAATTTTTAAGTCTTTAGCAAATATAATTGTAGTGAGTAAGAAGCTTATGGACAGTATGAATGCTTTGGACTTGAATGAGAAGTTAAATAGAAGTTCAAAGTGAAAAACTCTGTTGCCTTGGTTGCATTTAACTTAAATTTTACCTTGTAATTGCCTACTCTGTTATAGATAGTCCAAGCCAAGGAATGGTGTCAAGAACTTTTCCCTTGGCCTTAGAATATATAATAAAAAAAATTTGGCACTGTGTTTCTTTCTGATTGGGTATCAATGAAACTAATATTAAAATTACATTATAATGTTTGAGGAGACAGATATGTTTAATATGATTTAGACATTTTGTTATATATATATATATATATATGTACTGATATCACATGGTACCCCTTTAATATGTATAATTTTTATATATTGGTTAACACAAATTTAGAAAGCTTATGGCAAAATCAAAATTTAAAAACTAGACTTATTCTTTGACTAAATAATGCCTGGAATGTACTGTATGGCAGAAAATTAGTTTGGATTTCTAAGAAAGTAAGCACTGTAATTTATGCAAAAATAAGAGATTTGATTCTTTGGGACAGCTGATGCCTCACAGAACAGGTATGTGGTGTGGTGGCATAAAAAAAAAGACTATGCAAGTTATCAGAAGGTCAGGATTTCTTATTTAGTTACTGCCTCTTAATTTGTCTATGATAGTACTGCTTGATCTCAGGATACTCACTTATGTAATACCTAATGGTATTTGTGTAGACTTGAAAAAATACAAATATGTAGAAGTTATTAATTTGTAGTTACTAATCAAAATTTTTAAATGCTTCATATAAGCATGATTTTATACAGGTTTACTGTAAATTTTGTAATCCTGTAAGTAAAAGAATAAGAGTTTTAAGGCCCAGCAGTAGTTTGCTTGCTCTGTAAGGTACTGTCCAGAATTGGGCCCATTTATGTGTAACTGAACACCTGCTTTCTACTTCTACAACTAGACGCTGAGCAGCAGCTTGATCCTCCCTGTGTATCAACATTGTAAGCAGAATTTATACCCTTTTGGCCATGGCTAATTTCCTCAAGTTAGCCAAAGCACCCACTAAGGTCCTCTGTCTTTGTTGTCTTGCTTTGATAGATAAAAGGATCTTAACTGAAAGGACAAACTTTTTGGGGAAAATATAAGTATAGTCTTGGAAGCTAGAGATCTAATGATTCATAATGCTGACTTGTCTTAGATGTTTATCTGTTGAAAGTCATGTTGATTTTTGGCATTTTGTTTTCTTTTTTTTAGTGGAAAGAAATTTCTTTGTGGATCATGAACTCAATTTTGTGGGTCACAAATGACATTATGAATAATATATCTATATATCACATGTAGGGACAAGATCTCATGACATATATACATACATAAATAAGCATAACATCATAACATAAAAACGTACCTTACTATAAAGATAAACAAAAGTCACCAGAGGTGGGAATGGTGGCACACATCTGTAGTCCCAGCTACTTGGGAGGCTAAGATAGGAGGATCACGAGTTTAAGCCCAGCCAAGGCTCAGTGACACTGTCTCAAAAAATAAAATGGACTGGGGATGTAGCTCAGTGTGAAAGCCCTGTGCTCAATTCCCAGGACCACACACACACACACACACACACACACACACATACACAACAATAGTTTTGAAAATGCTAGTTTTACATTTATACAATATATTTTAGTATGTGTAAGTGGTGATCAGAATATCTTCGTAGATTGATTCATAAAGTCATCAGATTATTCTGCCACTCATTGTTTTAGTCCAGTGGTTCTTAACTTGGGAAATTATGCTCACCCGCCAGGAGAGGTTTTACAACGTGTGGAGATATTTTGAGTCTCACTATTGGGAAAGGAGGTGCTGCTAGCATCGAGGAGACAGAAGGCAGGGTGTCAGATGCTCCTCATCATCCTACAGTGCACAGAAGAGCCTCCCATAACAAATAATTATCCAGTCCCAAATCTCAATAGTCTCATGGCTGAGAAACCCTACTTTTACAATGTAATAAACTATGAGTACGATTATAATTTGATATGCAATTATGTGACATAAAACTGAAAATAAATCCAATATGTCATGGAAAGATAACTTACTCCCATTCCCATAGGGTGAACAAATGAAATTCTCCTTCGCAAATTATCTTCACATTTTTCAAAATTAGCTAAATTTTAAATGAGTTAATTTTCCTCTTGCATTAAAGTTTATACCACAATATTTTTTTGGTACCAGGGACTGAACTCGGGACATTGCACTTGCAAGGCAGGCGAGATACCACTGAGCTAAATCACCCGGCCCTGTACCACAATATTTTAAGAAAATAAAGTTTTTTAAAATAGGATAAAATATTTAAGTTCATATTTTAAAGTTGGTGAAATCTCAGATTTATAAAACATTTTATATCCAGTGCTTTTAGGCAACAAAAACATCAGTGTGGTCAAATGTTAGCTCATTTCACTTTTTATTAATAACAAATTTATTTCTATGGTGGTCCTGGATAGGCTTAAGAACTTCTTGATATTATTTTGTTTTTAAAATAAAACACTATTAAATGAACTGTATCATAACCCTGAAAGTATGCTGGAATAGTACAAAAGGTTAGAGGGGAAAAGAGCTTCAGTTTAGTCCTACTTTTTGGTATGTCCTAAGTCACCATTCTTCCCTGTTTTTAAGATTATAATATTTACTGTAATTGGTTTAATTTCCTACTTTTGATATGTCCTGAGTCACCATTCTTCCTTGGTTTTAAGATTATAATATTTACTGTAATTGGTTTAGTTTGAAGATGGCAACATATTAACGAGTTATTATTGATATAGGCTTTTTAATTTGTCCAAAATTATAGCATTTTGTTTTCTTTCCCATAGTTGTGGTGACAGTACATGGAGAGGTATGTGCTGAAAATATTTGTGTGCTTTGTTCAAATTGCTGTGCCCTTGTTCAGCCAGCTCTTTCATTTGCTTCATTGTTGTCCTGTGGGTGTGATGAACTGTTACTATTCTCGGCTCCTCCTTTCTCCGTGTTGCCTCTGATGGACTGTGTGTTCACAGGTGAACAATCTGTAAAGTGAAAGGAATACCTGAAGCACATGGTGTTTCTGTGCTGAGGTTGATTATCTCTGGAATGAATACTTATGTGGGCACAATGTGTACATAGCACAGCCTTTAATAATTTGCCAGAAATTTAAATATGGGGAGCCTATTAGGGTAACTCATTCTTCTTTCTTCTTTAGATTGATCCGGTTACAGGAATGGTTATGAATTTGACTGACCTAAAAAAATACATGGAGGTAATGCTGTATTGGGTGCTTGTCATGTGTTGTCCTCTTGGTACACTTTTAGTGGCCCCCTTTTACTGCCTCAGTCAATTAGCGGTTGAAGTTCCATGACTTTATTGGCAGAGTTGGGTGTGGGAGTGGAAGACTGGTTGGAGGAACTGCTCCTGTGGCCTTCTAAAGGGCTTCATAATGGAAGGTAGTCACGGATGTGTTACAGCAATGGGGAGAAATACACCCTGCTCACCTTATATTCCTTGTTGGAATATCCTGATTTTTTCCATTTAACAACTTCTACTCTTTCTTCAAGACACAGCTTTCTCCTTGAAGCTTTCCATTATTTCTCTGAATATTTCTTGTGCCTTTAATAATAGATTTTTAATACCCTCTTTTCTTAATCCCTCTGGCTTTATCATAAACTTACTGGGACAGTTCATTGTAGAAGTATCACAAGTTTTCACTAAATAACCGATTGTGTTTTCACAAACTTCTTGCATTGTAAAACTTTTTATTTATTTATTTATTTATTTTTGCTTTTTTGAGACAAGGTGGTTAAGGCTGGCCTTGAACTCACTGTGTAGCCCAGACTGGTCTCAAACTTGCGGTGATCCTATCTCGCAGCTTCCTGAGTGCTGGGATTATACGTGTGTATCACCATGCCTGGTTTGTAAGAGATTTTAGCAGAACTTATGATTGAGAGATGCCAGACAGTTAACTAATTTGCCCTAGGTCCTGTGGTTAGTCTTATATAAAGTTGGGAGTAGATCTTTCCCATTGTTATGACATCATTTCACCTGTTTACTTCTTCACTTCAGCTGTGCAGCTCTATAAAATTTGATGTTTCATAAAAATTACGTTAATAATCTTTACTTCTTTCCTATTATTTATCCATATATTCAACATGTTTGCCTACTTTGCACTGGTATTTTTTAATCTAAGTACTAGGAATACAGAAATGGAGAGCCATAGCCCATGGACTATGTGTGTTACTTTTTCAAGGATGTAAAAAACTATGAGTGCTCAAAAATTGTTGGTTGAATAAACAAGGGAATGAGTGAACAACCAAATAGCACTGTGTTCAAAGAACTTTAGGAAGGCAGATAGTTCTTGAGTTTACTGGGGGCACAAAATATAAATATACAATATAAGGCTTTCAGCAACTATGTGACTGCATACTAGGAGAGGCGTTTGGTATGGTTTTTTGGTCTTTTGTGTACTTGAAGTACACCACACTCCAGTTACTAAAAATGGCTTGTGACATTTTTTTTTGTTTTTTTGAGACAGGGTCTCACTGTGTAGTTGAGGCTGACCTGGAACTTGCTATGTAGCCCAGGCTGGTCTCCAACTCACAGTGATCCTCCTGCCTCAGCCTCCCAAGTGCTGGGATTATAGGCGTGTGCCACCATGCCCGGCGCTTGTGGCATTTTGAATGAAATTACAGGCTTGCAGAAGAGGCTTCAATGGAGATGTTGGGACCAGGACTAAGTGTGAAGATAAAGCAAGGATTTATTTTCTTGACATTCACATGAGATATCTCATTTGATCTGCTTTAAAAATGAATTGATGTAAGATTTACTCTGTATATGATTGTGGTTTTGCTCAAGAAATGATCTCTATTATTATTGCTTAAAACCATACAATCTAGAAAATTTGTTTTATAAATGCTCAAATTTTTGTATAAGATCTAAAAGTAAAAACCTACAAAGAAAGGAAATTGCAATCCTCGCTGACAACAAAGAAAGAAACATTATATTAATATATGTAAACATTAAGAAGTAATAGTCTTTGGCTGGGGATTTAGCTCAATAGCACCTTGCCTGCCACGCAAGGTCCTGAGTTCAGTCCCCAGTACCAAAAAAAGTAATGGTCTTTACATATTTACATTTTTTTCTTCTCAGAGCCCAAGGTTATTCTTAAATTATTTTTCATAGCAGAAATTTAGAACTACATATATAATTTTAGTCTAGGTCTGTTTTATAAATATAAATCTTTGTCCTAATGACATTGTGGCATTGCTCTGTAGGTAAGAATGTTGTGGAAATGTTTCTGATAACCTTTGGGACAATTCACAAAGTATGAAGCTGAATTCTGAGTCACAGTGGCTTGTATTTCAAGGAAGCTGTAGGAATTTTCTTCTGTAGTTTTTCAGTAACAAGAATAATCATTACAGGGAGATAGGCCTGACTTTAAACCTTGTAATATTGTTTAATATACAAAGATACAGTACTTAACTAGTATTAAATTCATAGCTAAACAATATTAAGGTTGAGAGGCTTAGGTGGAGTCTTTTTGAATTTGAGTTACAAATGGAATCAATGGTTTTTCTGTAGGAGGCAATTATAAAGCCCCTAGATCACAAGAACTTGGATCTGGATGTGCCATACTTTGCAGATGTTGTAAGGTGGGTGTCACTATCTTGCCTTATACAGAGAATAAGAAAGAATTGGAGTACTGTGTGATTTCTAAACTTATAGTTTACTATATCCTTTACTACTAAAATCTGTTTCCTGTAAATATTAAACATGAAATTATGTTTTGTATTATTTGTATTTTGAACTTCTTTATTCTTTTCCTACAGCACGACAGAAAATGTAGCTGTATATATTTGGGAGAACCTCCAGAAATTTCTTCCTGTCAGAGTTCTTTATAAAGTAAAAGTATATGAAACTGACAATAATATTGTAATCTATAAAGGAGAATAGTTCTTAATGAATAACACTGTAAAAAGACTAGTTTCTTTCCATATCTGAAAAAGATCTTGGTCCTTGTATAATGTGAAGCAGTCACTACATAATTTGTGTATCTGTATGTTGTGTTGTAGAGTGCCTGATTTATTGAAATCATTGTAAGGTCTGTTATAAATTTGTCTGTTTTAAAATAAAATATATTGTGAATATCTTTTTTTCTTTTTATGGTTCTTGACATCAAATGCAGCCCCCCCCACACTTTGCCACTAAGTGCACATATGCATAAATGAATATGCCAGACCCTCTGACTGTCATTTGGAGTATCTTTTATCTATAGATTTGGTTTGTTTGTTTTTTTGGTACCAGGGATTGAACTTGGGTCCCTGCGCTTGCAAAGCAGGTGCCGGAACCACTGAGCTAAATCCCAGGCCCTTTTATCTATAGATTAAAAATCATTTTCAGCAAAATGGTTTAGTATGGAATTATTTAAAAACAAAATATGTCTATTTTTTATATTCTTTATCTCATTTTCAGTATTCATATTTTTTGGTATAATGTAAATGGTAAAAATGTTTATGCAATACATAGTTGGTGAATCTTATAAAAATAAAATTTAGGTGACCACAAAAATCTGGAGACATTGTATTTCTTAATAAATTGAAGTTCCTTGATTAATTCTTCTAGAGTATGTTAAAAGTACAGCTTTATTCAGTGAAAATTAGACACAGATCTTCTGAGGAGATTTATTACTGATACATGTATAAAGATTGATGTAAATGCTGTTTTAGTGCACATTCTTCTTGACGGTTTTCCTCAGTTTATTGAACTATGAATTGGTCATGAGGCACAACACATTGAAATTAAAATTTTTATTTGACCCCAGATACAGCCATAGATTGGTGTCTCATGGGCTTAAACTTTAATTAAGCTTAATTAAACTTTTCAAACATGAAGTTCTAAGAGTTGGGGATTTAGCTCAGTGGTTCCGCTGCCTGTCTCAAACACGAAGTTCTGATTTTTCCTTCAAAACTTATCCCTCTACCAATTTCACTTTAAAATTCCAGTAGTGCTGGTGATTTAGCTCTCTCGTTCTGCCGTCTGCCTCACAAATGCAAGGTTCCAAGTTTGATATCTGGTACCAAAACCAAAACCAAACGAAACAAAAGCCAAAAATAAAATTCCACCACTGTGGAATTCATTTATTCAAGCCAAAAATCTGGTAGTTTTCCTTGGTCCCTCCCACCATCACCTCTTACATCTAATTTATTGGGGAGTTCTACGTCTAAATTACATAATGATGTCTATCTCTCCATTTCTGAGGCCAATGCCCTAGTCCAAAACATCCCCAATTTTTGCCTTGCCTGGATTTCTTTTTTTTTTTTTTTTTCCTCATTGAGTTTATTGGTACATTTTCTCATTGAGTTTACTGGTACATTTTAGTACAGTTACATTCATCATTGGGATCTTGTATCTTTACATGATAGGCCTTGGTTCTCATTTTTTCCCCTTATCCCTGCCCTCCCTTCACCCCCTCCTCCCTTCCCTATTTACAAATACTTTATTTCCATTTTTCATTTTCTCATGTTTTTTTTTCTTTTCCCTTATTACCTTTCCCCTACCGTTCCCATTTCCCCTGCACCTTTAGCCCTTTTTTTCCTACTTTACATTGTCAATTATATCATTAGGATCTTATGTACCATTATAGTATTTCACACCAGAGAAACTATTCAGTATTTATACATGTGTGACTTACTTATTTCACTTAGGAGTATATCCTCAATATGTATCTATTTTCCTATGAATGACTCATTCTTTATGGCTGAGTAGTATTCCATTATATAGAAAAACCACATCTTCTTTATCCAATCTTCAACTGATGGGCAAATGGGCTGTTTCCAAGTTGTAGCTATTACAGACTGTGCCGCTATAAACATAGGTGAGCATATATCACTGTAATATGATTCTTGTAATTCTTTTGGAAAGATACCCAGCTGAGGGATGGCTGGGTCAAATAGAACCTCAAAACCTAGTTTTTTGAGGTATGCCCATATTAATTTCCATAGGGGTCGCACCAGTTTGCACTCCCATCAACAATGGAGAAGGGTTCTTTTCTCTGCACAACCCTGCCAGCATTTGGTTGATTTCATTATTGGTTGATTTCTTGATAGCAGCCATTCTTTGTGGTGTGAGGTAGAATCCCAGTGTTGTTTTCATCTGCATCTCTCGAATGACCAGTGATGTGGAACATTTTTTCATATATTAACTTGCCGCTTTTACTACTTTGTCTGAGAAATGTCTATTCATTTCAGATGCCCATTTTTGAATTGGGTCTTTATATTTGAGGGGGCTGATTGTTTTTAGTTCTTTATATATTCTAGATAATAGTCCTTTGTCTGAGGAGCAGTTGGTAAAAATTTTTTCCCACACTGTGGTTTGTGTCTTAGTTCTGTTGATGGTTTCTTTTGCAGTGTAGAAGCTTCTTAATAAGATGAAATCCCAGTTTTTGATTCTTTCTGCTAGTTCCTGTGCTACTGAGGATTTGTTTAGAAAGTTTTCCTATGCCATTGTCTTCAAGAGTTCTGCCTAACTTATCTTCCAGCAAGTTTAGTGTTTATTTTTTAATATTTAGATCTTTAATCCACTTGGATTTTAGTTTAGTGCATGGTGAAAGATAAGGGTCTAGTTTTAATATTTGGCAGGTTGAAATCCAGTTTTTCCAACACCATTTATTAAAGAAGCTATCTTGCCTCCAGTGAGGATGGTTGATTTCTTTGTCAAAGATGAGGCAGCTGAGTACATATGGAGTTGTTTTTGTATCTTCTGGAGTTGTGTGCTGTAGTTTTCAGTGTAGAGGTCTTTTGCTTCTTTTGTTAGATTGATTCCTAGATACTTCATTTTTTTGGATGCTATTGTTTAAGGAATTATTTCCCTAATTTCTCTCTCATTTAGTCTGTTATTTGTGTATAAGAAGGTTATTGATTTTTGAGTGTTGATTTTGTATCCAGCTACTCTGCTAAAAGTGCCAATTAAGTCTAGAAGTCTTTTGGTTTGCCTGGATTTCTAATACATCTCTTAACTGGTCTTCTGCTTCTGTATAGTTCTCCTCCATACTCCAGTGGCTTTTTCTTTTCTTTAATTTTTAGTATTTCTGTTTTATTGTAATAGCAGGATAAGTAACTAAATACATCTATCCACCCTGATTACTATGGAGAATACTTACTGTATTATAGATCATAATTTTACAAGACTTGGTGTGATTTTCATTTTCAGAAGGCTGGTTTCATAATTATGCCAAGTTATTAGTAATCAGCTCTAAGAAGTGTCATGAAACTTAAAAGAAGACACAAAATATGTGGCATGGTTCCTGGCTCCTATGGACCTTTTTTTTTGGGTATCAGCGACCAAATTTGGGACCTTGCACTTGGGAGGCAGGTGGCACACCAGTGAGCTAAATCCCCAGCTCTCCTGTGGTTCTTTATAAAACAGCAGGGCAGATCTTGGCTCTCATCCCATATCGCCCCTGAATGCTCTCTGATTTTAGAACGGCATCCAAACTCCTCACACGATGCACCAGGCTCTGTAGCTCCATCTGCTACTTATTTTGCAACTTCAACCCCTTCATGACATTTTGGTCACTCTGGCCTCTCCTCAAGTCTTAAGGCAGATCAGTTTCACTCCTCCGAATCTTCGCATTTACTGCCCTTCTTTCTAAAATGTTGCCCTTACCATTCAGTCTCCCTTTAATAGTTGTACCATTAACCAGATTTGAGACACTCTAGTGGGTGAAGATCTTTGAGATAACAGGATTTGGGAGACATCAGTCTTCCTGTTGGCTTTCTCAGAATGAATGATCACTTCCTTTGGGTAGATAGGCAGTTGTCTATACCAGTAAGAATATAATGAATTTATAAAGCATAAAACTGTAAACAAGAAAAAAGTGGAGAAAGCTGAGGAAGTGAATGGCATGATAAATAGTCCATCTATTTATCTTTTCTTCTTGTGTAGGAGATGCAGCCCATGGGCTTCCTCACCTTTGTGTATATGCGTTTGTGTGGTGTGTATATCACTTTCCAATTAATGAGAATCCAGAGACTGCAAATATGAAGACCAGGAACTGTGACTCTTCATATTATTTTAGCTCTTTACTCTGATTCTGGTTCCTACTATGTTTACTATTTATTGGATTGACTTAAAGAACCACCAAGGGTGACCAATATTTGAAACCTGTGCAGCTTCAATTCTTGCCTTCTGAGTCCAAGGAAAATACCATTAGTGGAATACAATACTCTTACCTGAGCCTAGGTTTTGCTTCATAATCTTCAAACGGTGCTCCCAGCAGCTTTCATTTATTGGTCAGATGTGGCGTAAGATGGTAACACCTACTTAGCACCCCTGACTAGACTCTTAGAACTAGGGCTGGGTTTGACAGAGAAACCAATGTTGAGAGCTGAAAAATAGTTGTGACACCTGGGCCAGCCCTAATCTAACCAATGAGCAAACTTAGGTGGAATATGGCACAGAAATTTTTCTAATGTCTTGAGTTTATTGGACTCAAGCAGTCATATGTGGAAGAATAGATGAATGTGGAGATATTTTAGCATATACACATACATGTATATTATATCAGCCTTTCTCCTTGGAAGTAGTAGAATTTAACAAGTTTTCTGTCTCCTAATCCAATGTTCTTATTCTGCTGCCTCTATACTGCTTGTCTGAATTCTGCTCAGATTTTTTTTTTTAATTGTGTTTATTGGTACATTTAGGGATACAGTACAGTTACATTCATTGTTGGGATCATGTACCTTTACATGGCAAGTCTTGATTCTCATTTTTTCCCCTTACCTCTGCCCTCCCTTCACCCCCTCCTCCCCTCCCCATCTACAAACACTTTATTTTCATCTTTTCATTCTCTCACATTTTTTTCTTTTCCCTTTTTGTTCTTCCCCTACGTATCACACCTTCCCTACACCTTTAGCTCCTTTCCTCCCATTTCTAAATGTCAGTAATCTTATTAGAATCTTATGCATTGTTGCAGAATATTCACACCAGGGAAACTATTTGGTATTTACACATGTGGGACTTATTTATTTCACTTAGGAGTATATCTTCAATATGTATCCATTTTCCTATGAATGAATCTATTCTCTCGCTCTTTATGGCTGAGTAATATTCCATTTTATAGAAAAACCACAACTTCTTTATCCAGTTTCCAACGGATGGGCAAATAGGTTGTTTCCAAGATTTAGCTATTACAAACTGTGCCGCTATAAACATGGGTGCACATACTTCTCTGTGATATGATTCTTTTAGTTCTCTTGGAAAGATACCCAACAGAGGGATGGCTGGGTCAAATG